CAAAGTGGACACAGGCGGAAACAGGCTCCCCTAACAAGGCCAAGGATCCAAAAGCTGACTCCAACTCCCACGATAGGATTTGACAGGGCCAAGGAATTTATGTGCCTTAGAGTTCCCTATAGACCGGCTCAAGGGTCCTCCAGGATAAATGTAGGGAGCCCAGGAAACGCAATGGCCTCAGCATGCAGGGCACAACAAACCTCCGGGCCCAGCGGGGGTTGCATTCATGGGGGGAGGAGCCCCCTGACTCGAGAGTGGGAGCTACGGACCCCTGATTGTTGGAGGGGGACCAGATGACCAGCACCCGCCCGCCCCTATGCCGCCTGTACTCACTGTGATCCGGATGGGATAGGATCAGGACTGAATGGAACAGGCCGCACTAGGCCGCAGGCCTCCTCTACCTCAGAGAGGGGAAATAAGATCCAGCGCCCCTCTCCCAGATGTAAGAGATGATGAGGTGCCTCTGATGCCCCGGATGGGTCCATCTCTGCCTGGATGGCCGCAGATTCTGTGTCGAGGCTCTGCGGTCGTACCAGGCCGCGGACTTCCACGATTGCGGAGAGGGGCAATACAGTCCGGATCCCCTCTCCCAAATGCAGAGGATAGTGGAGGAGCCCCCCTGTGCCCCAGATGAGTCCGCCGCCGCCCAGATGGCAGCGAAGTTTAAGCCAAGGCGCTGCAGCCGCACAAGGCCGCAGATGTCCACGATCGTGGAGAGGGGCAATACAGCCCAGATCCCCTCTCCCAGACTCAGGGGACACCACCGCTGCCCGGATGACAGCGGATTAAGATCCAAGGCGCCGGAGCTCCGGATCAGGCGGCCGCTCCGGTCGCCATCTTGGACACGCCATCTCCTCTATTTTTTACTTGAACCAGAGACTCAATAAGTCGATGGTCCAACAGTATATAATCCAATCTTGAGTACGTCTCATGTGCATGAGAATAAAAGGTATAGTCTCTGTCCTTCATATGCTTAATTCTCCATATATCCACAAATTGACATTGATATAACATTTTCTTTAATAATCTAAGAGACCTACTCTCATCTCTCTGCACATGAGATGTCATATCTATCTGAGGATCCATACAAAGATTAAAATCTCCCGCCACAATTAAACTTCCTTTCTTGAAATCCATTAGTTTCCTCAGCGTATTCTTTAGGAACTCCTCCGGTTTCTTATTTGGGCAATATCTATTTGCTAGAGTACACTCCCAATCCTGTAATTTCCCCTTCAGGAACAAATATCTCCCTTCCGGATCTACCACACTGTCTTCCAAATTAAACCTGATATTTTTTGCGAAACCTATTGCCGCTCCTTTGGCTTGTTTAATTGGGGAATCTGCATAGTACCATATTGGATAATATCTGGAGTTTAGTTTCACATTTGCTTCTTCTTCTAAATGTGTCTCCTGTATAAAAAAAAAAAAAAAAAAATCACTGAAGAGAATCTGTGCTGAATTTCCTTAAAAATCCTAAATTTCTTCCCAAAACTATTTAAACCTTTAACATTTATAAGTCATAAAATTAATCTCTTCCATTCTTCCTTTCTTCTCCTCTCATCTCCCTCTTCCCCCTCTCCTCTCTTCTCCGTATCTTCTTTTTTTTTTTTTTTTTTTCCTAGGCCTTCTCCAGACAGACATATCTCCCACTATCTCAGAGAGTCTAAAACCCACCCCCCCCCCACTCCCTCCCAACCCCCCTCCCTTTTTAGGCAAATAATTAGCCTATGAATCATTTGTGGTCTAGATCCCACCCTTGATTCCACTTTAAGGTGAATCTCTTGAACATGCCCACCTCAACCCATTTACTCTCCCCCAGCGTTTCATCAGTTTAACCAAAGGGAAGAATATTTAATCTGCCTCAGTCACGTGTCTGCCCGGCTTCCTCCAGGCTCTGGCTTCCAGGACACCGGACTCACCGCCTCCTCTCGCTCCCCCGGATCCGCCTGCTCGACCGCATCTCCCCTCGACCGAGGTCCACGGGAGACAGACCAGCCAGACCCGGAGCCACAGCAGGTGAGTCACCTCTGCTGACCTCGATCGCCGTGCTGCTGACGGGACGCTGGAGAAGCTGGGTGCCGTGAAATCTCACCTCGATCTCACGATCAGCGCCATGCCCAGGCTCCTCCCCATCAGTCTCAGCAATTATCCGCACTGACAGTTTTTAATGATGTGGATTTAATGACACTTTAGACAATAGTTTTTGATATTTTTTAGTGATGCACCGATATATTGACCGCCGAGAATAGGGTTATCGGCGTTTTGCCGATAGAAAAAAAATCCCCTCTTTTTGACTTTTTTTTTTTTATATATATATATATTTCATTTTCTGAGTGCAGAATGAACTGCACTCCTGTGGTCCACAGGAGAAGTACAGCTAAAAGAGCTTTGGCTTTACGTCTCCTTTAATATTAACTAAAAAGAATATAATACAATTTTATATATAAAAAAAATATATATTTTTTAAGCATCCGTTTCGGTTTTAGTTTTTGGCCAAGTGTATCCAGAATTTTAATTTTGGTACACCATTAATGTTTTTAGTACTAATCCCATGGACTAACAATTCTGGAAATCTGCACTATTAGCAACTCTTTGTGTTAGAGACTTTAGAGAGAATGGCCTATTTGTAGATTAGGTTTATTAAAGTGATACTAAAGATTGTTGTTTTTTGTTTTTTTTTCCTGATTAAAATATTAAACACATTCTCTTCTTGGGTTCCCTGCTGGCACTTCTGGCTCCTTCCCTCCACTGAGTGCCCACCATAGGAAGCAGTTTCCTATGATGGTCACTTGTGTGAGCTCGCTCCCAAGCCAGGCTGTTGGGTCTGTTCAGACTCGCAGCCCGGCTCGGCCCCGCCCCACTGCTCTCAGCTCTCAAGTTTTTATTGACAACAGCAAGGTCCAATGACTCCCGCTGCTTTCAGTAAAGACTGACAGCCAGGAGAGGAGCTCCTGCAGATATGCACAGCGCTGGACAGAGATCAGGCTAAGGTTAGTATTTGGGGGGACTGTGGGCTGCAGGAAAAGCTGCATGTAAAAGGTGTTTTGTTTTTTTTTTTTTACCTTTTTTAATGCAAAGAATGCATTAAGGTCAAACCTTTTACCTTTACAACCACTTTGTCAGTAGCTATTGTCATAATGTAAGTATAATTGTGCAACCTGGACTTTTTATGTAGAATTTAGTATTATACAAGTGTACAATATATGCAATAAACAGTTAAACAAAAAACAACCAAAACCCGTACCTCCTCACCGCTTTCTTCTCTCATATCAAGCAAGATCTGCGCAAAAGACAGTCGAGTTTGCTGAATGCCGTGAATTATCTCCCAAGGAGTAGTTGTACCAGTATCCCTACACAAGAGACTCAAAGGTTCAAATCTGTTCATGTTACCAAAACCCAATTGGTTTATTTGTCCCATCCTAGACCTAAAATCACTAAATGCATTTAATATCCCAAATTTAACAAGGTCAGTTTTTACTTCTCTGGGACAAGGGGAATACTTGGCATCCATAGACATTCAAGATGCCCATCTTCATATTCTCATTTATCCACCTCATCAGCGCTTTCTATGATTTGCAGTAGAAGACAATCGCTTCCAGTTTGTTGCACTGCCATTTGGCCTAGCCTCTGCTCTGAGTGTTCACAAAGGTCTTCTCACCTCTACAGTCACTTTTTAGAACTCCAGGTCACAGGTTATCTAGACAACCTTCTTCTGGACTGCCTCCACTTCCAGCTATCTGCAGACATCCACAGGATAGTTCAGAGGGATCAGGCTTTTGGCTGGGTGATGAAGTTCCATAAATCCACTCTCTGACCTTCTTTTCAGCTGGAATACTTTGGTCTGATGCTCGACACATCCCAAGCAAATCTCCATTCAAGGGAAAAAGCTGCCTCATCAAAACTCACTCTTGGGATTTGAGATCAAAGAGACACCCCTCTGTGAGGTTCTCCATTGGAGTCTGAGTTTCATGGTGAGAGCGTTCACCCTGCGCGCTCCCAGCACACATGTCTGGTACTCACGGAAAAGTCCCGATCTCCTCTTTTAATCGGGACCTTTACCGATCATGTGACCGCCGTGACAGCGAATCACGGCGGTCACATGACCCTAAAACCCTGCCCCGCCTCCCGGCTTCTAAAACACTTAGGGCCGGGAGGCGCCGGCGCCAAGGGGTTAAATTGTATGAATTTTCATTCCAGTTATTCAGTATGTTTCACTTTGAATTAAGATTCACTGGGGTTAATTTACTAAAACTTGAGAATTCAAAGTCTGTGCATGGTAGCAAATTAGCTTCTAACTTCAGCTTGTTCAATTCATCTTTGACAAAACTTGGAAGCTGATTGGTTTCTATGCAGAGTTGCGCCACATTTTGCACACTCCAGTTTTCGTAAATCAACCTCAATGTGTGCTGGTATAAATGTGTTATATTGCACAAACACACTGGAAGTTTTTATCTGACATGCTTGAGGTGTGTTGTTTTGCATTACAGAGATGCCTTGGTGAAGCAATGTGGGTTTAACAGGTATTTGCAAACAGAAGCACCAAACGTGAACTCAAGTGATTTATTTTAGTTTTTGCAAAATCCACAAACTTTGCATGTGGTAAATCCATGCAGTTAGTACAACAATTTCAAACCGCTCACAAACCCTTTCTCAAATAAAGCATGTATGCTGATACTTGCTTTACTTGAGGGCGGACCGTGAGCATTTTGAAACTATGGAACATGTAGAATTATCACACGTGAAATTAGTGGATTTTGCAAGTAATTAAATCACTTCAAGTGCTGCAGAACTACTATTGTGGACTATTTTCTATATATAGAAACAGAGGGTAAAGCACCTTAACCTCCTGCACTCCTTTTTCACTCCTGCGCAGACAAGAGCTATGTAGGTGTGTATGTATATGTATTTTTTATTTAATTATAATTTTTTTTTAAACTATATATTTAATTTTTTTAATTCTTTCAAATAAATACTTGTATATCTTTTTCCCCTTCCATCAGGTACGACCTCAGCCTGCATTATTAAGGCTCCTTCACACAGCAGGAGCAAAAGGAGACACATTTACCATAAAACAGGTAAACTCTTTATTATGTAGCTTTATATGTAGTCCTTGTCAATTTTATACTGTATATGCACCTGTGGAGCGAGGTCAGTATGATTTCTGTGCAGGTCAGGTTTTGGAGATACCGTGGTAATCCTTTCTAATAGTTACTAAATTTTGATAAACGGTAGAAGATGGTGGTTTGTTTCGAATTGCATGTGGGTAGGAAAAGATTGCACTTGTATACAATTATTCAAATTTGATAGGTTTGCTTCTTTTAGGCCTGGTATGATTGAGCATCACATAAAAGGAGGTGATGATAAAAATGCACCCAGGCAGTATAGAGCATAGAACAAAGTATCTCAGTAGCCACATGTGCAAAAGTGAATAGACCAATAAATGTAATTCTGTAAATGTATCTAAACTAACACAATCGCACTTATGATCACCAATTTATTTCTAGATTCGCTGTATTAAGTTTATACTATAAACTTGTGTATGACTAGTAAATTTGGTTTTGTAAATGGGTTATTACCAATATCCACTTCTTCTCTATTGATTCAAGGGACTAACCATATAAGGGCTTTATTGGGAGGTCTTTTTTTTTTTTTTTTTTTTTAAAGCAACCATTTAAGACTGTTTTTTGTATTGTTTTCTTTTACACAATGTTCATGTACCCTTATTCCCCCTGACCTTCCCCCCTATAACCCTACTCCACTTGTCCCTGTGTTTGTTTTTTTTTCTCTGTTTTGTTTTTTGTGTGTTTTTTTTTTTTTTCCTAGCGTTCTAAGGTGATGTGTCTCTTTTCTTTATGGAGAAATCCCTCTTAGCTTATCTAGTTTTATTTTGGCTTTGGGATCTACTATCAACCCTTCAATCAACTCCCCACTGTCTTCTAAGGGCTCATGTACACTGCAGCTGATAAACTTTAGGAGCTGTTCAGCGTTTTTTTTCAGCAGCCCCTGAACTCACCCTAATGTTTTCCTGTGTCCATGTACACATCTTTGTTTACAGTCGTTTACAGGCATTTTAGTTTACAGTCGTTTTTTTGAACGCAAAAAACTTGCATTCAGCAGTCGATTTTATCAGCGTTTCAACGCTAAACGCGGAAAATCTCGTTTATAAGCATTTACGTTTTGAATTTTTTTTTTTTTTTATTAACTCTTCCAGTTCCCGATGCTGTCCAGAACCTTTTTTCATCTACCAACTTGTCACACATTGTAATGACCAATTCACACCTCAGATCTCTCCCACCCTTTGGAAGCGTTTTTGAACCGCATACAGTTTGCATGATGTGAAATATAACATTGCTTTTTATTGTGCCTGTTCACATATATATGGTGCACCCTCAGTATGAATTTAGTGTGGATTCAAGAAGAGTCCTGATTGATTTCTGAGCAGTGCGGTCCAGTTCAGATGTGAATTACAGTCTACTTGCGTGTAGTTGGCCTCGGGATGCTATACATGTCCGAGACCATGGTCCTACCCCCAAGACTCTGAAGAACCTGCATAGGGACCAGTGATGTGCAGAAGTAGGACAGGGTCACCCTGTGTAGTTAGTTGAGTTCTCTAGGAAAGCTTCTGAACTGCATCCACACCACTCCTGAACCGCTGAACAACTACTTTGTACAGAATTCACAGCTGAAACAAAAATCCTGTCCTGCGCTGCATCTGAACTGGTCCTGAACCGCTGAACAACTACTTTGTCAATTTGTTGTGAAAACAGAGCTTCAATTTGCACTACTCTTGTGAATCCAATGGTACTATGCCAGTCATTAGAGTCCCTATAAATGAGGAACTACTGCTTTGAAATGACAGAGCTCAATTCTTTTAGTACACGTGGGTGTATGCCCTCTGGTCCAGGTGCTTTATTCAACTTTTTTCAGTCGCAATATTTCTGGGCCATATCAATTTTGAGCCATAGTGGTTAATTTGGAGCTATGCTTTGCTTTCCTTATTATTCTGTTCTGGCTACCAAATTTCTATGTATTTCTGAACATAAACTGCTATATGATTAAGTAGTGGTCCTTTTTACCTCTGTACATTTATGTATTTTTGTAGTTGAAGTAACAGTGGGGCAAATACCTTTGCTGTGATATGACAGAATTGGATATTTGTATCTCTTGTATAATTGTGCTTATGTGCTGAATAAAGCTTTATTTCAACAGCATTCCTGTTATGTATAATGGTGTAAACCTCCTGCGCTCCAAATATCCGAACACTATCACAGAGAAGCTGCTAACATTAAAATCATATACCAGTGATCTCTAAATATAAATACATAAAAATGCAGAGCTACTTACAAACATAAAAAACATGAATAAGTGTATACGTCCACAAATAATACAGTAACACACTGTGCAAATCAGTGAAATGTTGCTCACCCAGTGCCAACATAAATTAGTGGAATCATGCATACAATACCACAAATCCGTGTGATAAAAATATCCCAAATAAACAGTGATGGTGACTAATAATAAATGTGTCTCCACTACTAATGAATATACATGCGATCTATTCCCAATAAACCACCAAACAAATATGTATCTCTTAAATATAAAAATACACATATATATAAAATGCAAAAACAATAGATGAATATACATACCATCATATATTCATAAATATATATGTATATATATAAAACCCCCAAATCAGTGAAACATAAATGTGTGTAATAAATGTGCATACAAGTGAACAAAAACGGTGTAATCACACTCAATAAAGGATAGTGCTAGTGGACATGACACGGGAATACAGGTGTACAACAGTCTGAGCAGGAAGAAGGAAGAGCTCAGACTGCACTCAGTGGCTGCAGCCACATTGTATAGCTGTGGGCCTACAGTTTATGATCATGCACATCTCGGGAATGCATGCTCTTATGTTCGATTTGACATAATTCAGAGGGTTATGACCCAGTTCTTTGGCATCGATGTTGTTATGGTGATGGTAATAACAGATATTTGATGATAAGATAATCAAGAGGTCTAAAGAGATATTGGCGCTGTATCTGACTCTATCTGATCCTATGAGTGCTGACCTTTTTGAGGAGATTTGTGTGCGGTGGGAGCACATCAGTGGAGTGGCTGCAGACTTGAAGGATCTAAGAGAGGGATCCCTAAAGCGCTTTGACCCGCAAGGGTCGAAGTTTTAAGGTGAGAGGCTTATCTGGCCGGTGGTCGGATTGTCGTCTGTCAGCAGTTTAATCCACTGTCACACAATATCAGCACGAGTGTCATCGTTCATGCGATAAAGTGTTATGATCCATGTTTACTGGACTTTATAAGCACAGATCAGAAGTTGGAGTTTGATCCTTTTGAGTGTGAATTCACCGTTTTTGTTCACTTGCATGCACATTTATTACACACATTTATGTTTCACTGATTTGGGGGTTTTATATATACATATATATTTATATATATATACATGATTGTATATATATTCATCTATTGTTTTTGCATTTTATATATATGTGTATTTTATTTTTAAGAGATACATATTTGTTTGGTGGTTTATTGGGAATAGATTGCATGTATACTCATTAGTAGTGGAGACACATTTGTTATTAGTCACCATCACTGTTTATTTGGCATATTTTTATCACACGGATTTGTGGTATTGTATTCAGTATTATATGCATGATTCCACTAATTTATGTTGGCACTGAGTGAGCAACATTTCACTGATTTGCACACAGTGTGTTACTGTATTATTTGTGGACGTATACACTTATTCATGTTTTTTATGTTTGTGAGTAGCGCTGCATTTTTTATGTATTTATATTCCTGTTATGTGGTGTGGTTGCTCTGGATATTATATTGGTTGCAAAATAGTGTAGATAATGGTATGCAGACCTTTATTGCTAATTTATGTGTTTTCCCAATGTACCTAAATGCTCACCTATTGCCTGTAATGTGCAATTAAGAAAACTGAACTTTTAACTAGCCATAAAATCCTTTTCTTTGAGTGCATATAGGGACACACGTCCCTCCCCTCTGTTCCCATATTCCACTCCTACGAGTGCTTGTTGCTAAACTGAGGCAGGCTTGGAGTGAGAGAGGTTATACTGGGCTGTTTCAGCTTTGTTTTGCCAGTGCCTAATCTCCTAAAGGCAGCCATTGGCAACCTAGCGTACCTGGACACTCATTCTGTGCCTCATAATGTACTCCAAATTAAAGTATTTTAAGGTAAATTAAAAATTCGGTTTTCTTGTTGTCTTACTGTGGATATTTATGCTCAGCAGTTTTATATTTTGGAAGCAATGTGCACTGAATGAGGTCATATGCTTGCTCTCTGCTCATGGCATGTAAACCTTTAACTTCTTTTTAGGTTATGCATTATTTGGGACAGTACATAGTGGTTAAACAGCTGTACGACAAGCAGCAGCAGCACATTGTTCACTGTGGCACTGATGAACTTGGAGAATTATTGGGCATTACACACTTTTCAGTGAAGGACCCAAGGTAAGAGGTTTCTGAAGTAAGAAATTATCAAAGTATATCAGCTTAAGTATGCTGTTGCGGAATTGTAACTGGTGTGGTTTAACACTTGCTTTATCAGAGTTCATTGAAGCTTGGGTTCCTAGTCCAAGTCTATCATCACTGTGGGTCAGTAAGCCTGACTATCACACTGTAACAAATTTCTCTGCTTGACTTCACACAGGTGCGCTTTTTTTAATTCTCTGGTGCTGTGTTAACTAAAATTCTTACTACGAGATAATTTTTTCTTTCGGAAATAAGGTGTATGGTAATACTAAAATATATAAGTATCGCAGCGGTCAGTTGTTGGATTAACCTTAGCAACATCATTTAGGCTGCAGTACAGTGGAGACTGTTACTGTGACAGACCAAAGTGAACAAACATGAAACATTACAATACAGAAATGGGTGTTGTGGACTATTCAAATGAAATGCTAAAGAAGTTAAGTTAAAGGTGGTATATAAAGGTGCACATTTAATTACTGCATCTAACCTTTCCTTTGTTGGGCACAAGTAGGCAATGGGACTTTTTTCATGAAAAATATTTAGACCGTTATTTTATCCCTTATTTTTTTTATTTGAAACAGAACACCTAAAAATTTGGAGTCTGAATTAGTAAGCAGGTTGCCAAGCAAAGGATTGGCACATGTATCCATCGCACCCAGGCAGACTGACCAAAGGCTGCTAAAGGGGTGTTACATTTGTTACTATGGTGGTTTCTGTGATCCTTCCAATCTGAGCCACAGTTCGATGCCAAAAACACACATTGTAGTTTTCCAGTATCAGTAGTCACAATGTGCTCCTTAGTAGTGTGGTGTGTCCACAAAACAAATGAGGTATTCTTGGGTGCCCTGTTCTTGTTTAGGTTTACTCTTGGTACTCCGGTTTTATCCTGCACTCTAATCATATGGCGGTAGGTTAATTGGCTTAAGCGAGCGCACCCAAGGTGGCCAAAAAGTGTTAGAGATACACAGAAATATTATTATTATACAGGATTTATATAGCGCCAACAGTTTGCACAGCGCTTTACAAAGTGAAGGTAGACATTACAGCTACAATACAATTTGGTACTAGAGGAAACAGAGGACCCTGCTCGTTTTTTTTGTTCTGGTTTTAAATGAGCAATATCTGTCTGAGCTGTATCAAAATTGGCTAGGTTGAGTGCAAAAAAGGTCAGCTGTTGTTAACACATGCCCAAAAGCTGGTGGGACTTATTTATATGAGTTTAAACTGTTACTAAACCCACAGCAGAAAAATCTGTCTGTATATGCAGTAAAGCATGCTTGTTATACTCACTGTGGAACCTAAGGGGTTAGTCCTCCACATCCTGTAAAAAGGATGTTTGATCCTGTCTTCTCTGACCCTCCCCTTCTTCCAGTGTCTCCCAAATATCTCCTGATAGAACAGAGACTAGGGGCAAGTTTTACATGCTCAGTTTGGTTTGTATTGCTAGTTTTTTTTTTTTTTCTTCTTCTTGGGAGAGTGTATATTTACTAAAATAATTGCATTTCCATGTTCTGTGTACTGTGGTTAACCAGATAAAGTGAATGCAGGGTCCTGGGTTTAGTAACACTTTAAATGTGCAGGGAGGTGAATAAAATGGTGCACTCGAAGGGCTTGAGCAGTATGTGGCTTATTGTAATTAACATGTTTACAGTGGGGATCGAAAGTTTGGGTACCCCAGCTAAACATTTGTATTAATGTGCATAAAGAAGCCAAGGAAAGATGGAAAAATCTCCAAAAGGCATCAAATTACAGATTAGACATTCTTATAATATGTCAACAAAAGTTAGATTTTATTTCCATCATTTACACTTTCAAAATAACAGAAAACAAAAAAATGGCATCTGCAAAAGTTTGGGCACCCTGCAGAGTTAATATCTTGTACTGCCCCCTTTGGCAAGTATCACAGCTTGTAAACGCTTTTTGTAGCCAGCCAAGAGTCTTTCAATTCTTGTTTGAGGTATCTTTGCCCATTCTTCCTTACAAAAGTCTTCCAGTTCTTTGAGATTTCTGGGCTGTCTGTCACGCACTGCTCTTTTAAGGTCTATCCATAGATTTTCAATTATGTTGAGGTCAGGAGATTGTGAAGGCCATGGCAAAACCTTCAGTTTATGCCTCTTGATGTAATCCCCCGTGGATTTCGAGGTGTGTTTAGGATCATTATCCATTTGTAGAAGCCATCCTCTCTTTAACTTCAGCTTTTTCACAGATGGCATCAAGTTACCATCCAAAATTTGTTGAAATTTTATTGAATCCATTTTTCCTTCTACTCGTGAGATGTTCCCTGTGCCACTGGCTGCAACACAACCCCAAAGCATGATTGATCCAACCCCATGCTTAACAGTTGGACAGAGGTCCTTTTCATTAAATTCTGTGCCCCTTCTTCTCCAAACGTACCTTTGCTCATTCCGGCCAAAAAGTTCAATTTTAACCTCATCGGTCCACAGAACTTGTTTCCAAAATGCATCAGGCTTGTCTATATGTTCATTTGCAAAGTTCAAACGATGATTTTTTTGTGGTGAGGACGTAGAAGAGGTTTTCTTCTGATGACTCTTCCATGAAGACCATATTTGTACAAGTATCTCTTTATAGTGGAATAGTGTACCACAACTCCAGTGTCTGCCAGATCTTTCTGGAGGGATCGTGCAGTCAAACGTGGGTTTTGAATTGTTTTTCTCACAATCCTGCGAGCTGTTCTGTCTGATATTTTTCTTGGTCTTCCAGATCTTGCTTTAACTTCCACTGTTCCTGATGACTGCCATTTCTTAATTACATTCCAAACAGAGGATATTGACATCTGAAAACGCTTTGCTATCTTCTTATAGCCTTCTCCAGCTTTGTGAGCGTCAACTATTTTCAGTTTCAGTTTTCTAGACAACTGCTTAGAAGAACCCATGGTGCTGATTGTTGGGGCAAGGTCAGATGAGTCTGGGCATTTAAAACCTTTGAGATTGACATCACCTGGTCTTCCCAGACGATGATTGAGAACAATCCATGACACTGGCAGGTCTCAGCTTGGCAAAGGGGGCAGTGCATGCTATAAATTCTGCAGGGTGCCCAAACTTTTGCAGACGCCATTTTTTTGTTTTCTGTTATTTTGAAAGTGTAAATGATGGAAATATAATCTAACTTTTGTTGACATATTATAAGAATGTCTAATCTGTAATTTGATGCCTTTTGGAGATCTTTCCATCTTTCCTTGGCTTCTTTATGCACATTAATACAAATTTTTAGCTGGGGTGCCCAAACTTTCGATCCCCACTGTATGTAACAGCGAAAAGTATTCTTTTAAAAGGGTATGTTCACACAAAACTACTTACAGCTGAACTCTGGGCAGACACATACAAAGTTTGTGCGTGTATGTATGTATATGTGTGTGTGTATATATGTATATATATATATATATATATATATATATTTTTTTTTTTTTTCACTAACAGACATACTTACCTGCTCTGTGTAATAGAATTGCACAGAGCGGCCTGATCCTCTTGTGCCACCATAGGAAGCTCAATCCTTAAAAATGCTACTTGCACCACAAATACAGTTAGGTCCATATATATTTGGACACAGCCACAATTTTCATACTTTTGGCTCTGTATGCCACCAGAGAGTAAATTAAAACTAAACAATCCAAATGAATTTGAAGTGCAGACTTTCAGCTTTAATTCAAGTGGTTGAACATAAATATCAAGTACAAATTTTAGGAACTGCAACCATACACAGTCCCTCCATTTTCAGGGGCTCAAATGTAATTTGGTAAATGAACATAATCATAAAATGTTAATTTTTAACATTTTGTTGAGAATCCTTTACTGGCAGTGACTGCCTGAAGTCTGGAACCCATGGACATTACCAAAGACTGTGTTTCCTCCTTTCTTATGCTTTTCCAGGCTCTAACTGCAGCGGTCTTCAGTTGTTCTTTTTGGGTCTTTCTGCCTTTAGTTTTGCCTTCAGCAAGTGAAATGTATGCTCAATTGGGTTGAGATCAGGTGATTGACTCAGCCATTGCAGAATATTCCACTTTTCCTTCAAAAGCTTCTGGTGTTGCTTTTGCAGTGTGTTTTGGATCATTGTCTATCTGTAGAGTGAAGCGCCGTCCAATCAACTTTGCTGCATTTGGCTGAATCTGGGCTGACAGTATATCTCTAAACACTGCAGAATTCATCCTGCTGCTTCTGTCTTTGTCACATCATCAATAAACACTAATGACTCAGTGCCACTGAAAGCCATGTATGCCCATGCCATCAAACTGCCCCCACCATGTCATCTGTTTTACAGATGACGTGTGCTTTGGATCATGAACTGTTCCAAGCCTTTCCCACACTTTTCTCTTCCTCTCATTCTGGTACAGATTAATCTTAGTTTCATCCGTCCAAACAATGCTTTTTCAGAACTGGTCTGGCTTTTTTAGATGTTTTTTTGGCAAAAGTCTAATCTGGCTTTTCTATTCTTCATGCTTATGAATGGTTTGCACCTTGTGGTGAACCCTCTGTATTTGCTTTAGTGAAGTCTTCTCTTGATTGTAGACTTTGACAATGATACGCCCACCTCCTGGAGAGTGTCCACTTGTCTGGATGTTGTGAATGGGTTTTTCTTTACCATAGAGAGGATCCTGTGATCATCCACCACTGTTGTCTTCCATGGACGTCCATGGCTTTTTATGTTGCTGAGCTCACCAGTGCGTTCTTCTTTCCTCAGAATGTACCAAACTGTTGATTTGGCCACTCCTAATGTTGCTGCTCTGTTGCTCTCTCTGATGGATTATTTAGTTTTTTTAAGCTTTACAGTGGCCTTTCGCTTGCATGGACAGCTCCTTTGAACGCATGATGTAGGTACACAGCAACAGATTCCAAATGCAAATACCACACTTAGAATCAACTCCAGACCATTTACCTGCTTAATTGATGAAGATATAATGGAGTAGCCCACACCTGGCCATGAAACTGCTGTTGATTCAATTGTCCAATTACTTTTGGTCC